AGATGTTACTGAAGATTCACCCTACTTTATCTCAGTATAGTATGTATGAGAAGGGTCAGTGGGAAAATAGTTGTCCAGACCTTAACACTCTAGAAATTGTCTGATTTCCTGAGTAGATTACATCTTCATAACAACAGGAATCTTAAAACTCATTCATTCCCCCTACTTATTTTGGTCATTGGGCATGTTACATATACAGCTTTGCTTTAATCATTATGCAAAATGTTAATGACCTTCATTTTGATACATTGCATTTCTCCCTGATGTCTTAGGAGTCTAAATTTAATCTCCCCTCTTCACACTTTACTAATTTAAAAACAGATATGTTGCACTGAATATATAGAGTTTGTAAGTTGTCTTAGAACTGTGAAATAAATAAATCTTAAAAACTAAAAAGAAATAAGTTAATAATTGATCCAGATGCGTTGGGGATTTTTTCTCCTCCTCACAGCCTGAAAAACCCCAACACTTTCTTCTCTTGTGAAGTTGCTTGTTTCTTCCCAACACCTTTCTCCCTTCAGAGCTCAACCCAATTAAAAAAAAATGCTGTCTCTAAAGCCCAGCAGGACATTGACACTCTTCTATTTCCTTCTACTGAGCCTATTAGAAGAAAATAAAAGGCCCTTAAAGATTAGCATCCAAGTTAAAATAAAGATAATAAAAATAAAGACTCACAAAAAATTCACATACATCTTTGGTATTTGTTTAGATAAACAGACAACAACAAGGGGACATAAGAAAAATGAATGCATTACAATAAATTCAAAAATCCCAAATGGACCTGAAAAAGCTAAAGAAAATGCAGAGAGAGAACCCAGAATTATAACATTTTACCTAGGTTTAAAAGGTGCAAAAAATTTGAATACAAATCCTTACAGTCAAATGGAAATTGAGAATCCTGTTCTAAAATTCAAATGTAAGAACTGTCAGAATGTCTAAAATAAAAAAAACACCAACAACAGTTTATGCTGGAGAAGATGTGGAGAAAGGGAAACACTCCTCCACTGCTAGTGGAAGAATACAACTCGTACAGTCACTGTGGAAATCAGTATGGCATTTCCTCAGGAAAATGGGAAGCAGTCTACCACAAGATCCAGCAATTCCACTCTTAGGCAAATACCCAAAAGATGCACATTCATACAACAAGGACATGTGTTCAACTATCTTCATAGCAGCATTATTTGTAATAGCCAAAAACCTGAAAGCAACCTAGATGTCTCTCAGCTGAAGAAAGGATAAAGAAAATGTGGTACATTTACACAATGGATTACTACTCAGCAGAAAAAAATGGAATCTTAAAATTCGAAACAAGGAGAACCCTAAGAGAGACATACATGTTCCCCTGGAGAAAGGGAAAGGGACAAGATCTCCTGAGCAAATTGGAACCATGGGGCAAGGGGACAGTAAGTTAGGACAAAGAAGAAGGGAGAAAAGGACATGGGGGAGCAGAAAGATTGAGTCAGGGGAAGAATGGAGCAGAGCAAGAAAAGAGATACCATAATAGAGGGATCCAGCATAGGTTTATAGAGAAATCTGGCACTAGGGAAATGTCCAGAAATCTAAAAAGATGACCCCAATTAACAATCTAAACAATAGTGTAAGGGCTAGCTTAAATGTCCTTCCCTCATAATGAGATTGATGACTACCTTATATGCCATCCCAGAGCCTTCATGCAGCAGCTGATGGAAGCAGAACAGACACCCACAGCTAAACACTGAGCTGAACAGTGGCAGAGAGGGAGGAGTGATGAGCAAAGGGGTCAAGACCAGGCTGGAGAAACCCACAGAAACAACTGATCTGAACAAGGGGGAGCTCATGGACCCCAGAATGATAGCTGGGAAACCAGCATAGAACCAATCCATACCTCCTGAATGTGGGTGTCAGTTAGGAGATCTGGGCAATCTATGGGTCCTCTGGTAGTGGATCAATATTTATCCCTAGTATTGGAATGGCCTTAGGGAGCCCATTCCACATAGAGGGATACTCTCTCAGCCTAGACACACTAGACACTTGGGGGAGGGCCTAGGCCTGCTCCAAATGATATATGACAGATATTAAAGATCCCCCATGGAAGGCCTCACCCTCCCTGGGGAGCAGAAAGGGGATGAGATAGGGGGTCAGTGGGGGCAGAGGAGGAGGGGAGGGAGAGGGAACTGGGATTGATATGTAAAACAAGCTTGTTTCTAATTTAAATTTTAAAATTGAAGGGGAAAAATAGGTCAGAATAAGTTAATGCAAGATTGGATTACCAAAAAAAAAAGGGTGGGGGTGAGGGGGTTGGAGAAATTTGTCTTTGAAATGTCAAGACACATTAAACCTATAAAAATATAATATTCTGTTCTTTCTGTTCTTTTGATTGGGATTTGTATAATGATAAGAAAAACTAGCATAGCTTTTCGCCAAGATGGTGCCTAAAGCTAAGAAGGAAGCTCCTGCCCCTCCCAAAGCCTTAGCCAAAGGGAAGGCCTTGAAAGCCAAGAAGGCAGTGCTGAAAGGCATCTACACCCACAAAAAGAAGATCTGCACATCACCCACCTTCCAGGGGCCCAAGATCCTGTGGCTCCGGAGGCAGCCCAAATACCCGCGAAAGAACGCGCCAAGGAGAAACAAGCTTGACCACTATGCCATTATCAAATTCCCCCTGACAACTGAGTCAGCCATGAAGAAGATTGAAGACAACAACAAACTTGTGTTCATTGTGGATGTCAAGGTCAACAAGCACCACATCAAACAGGCTGTGAAGAAGCTCTATGACATTGATATGGCCAAAGTCAACACCCTCATAAGGCCTGACGGAGAGAAGAAGGCTCTTGATTATGATGCTCTGGATGTTTACAACAAAATTGGGATCATCTAAACTGAGACCTGCCGGCTAATTCCAAATATATACTTTTCACCATAAGAAAGAAAGAAAGAAAGAAAGAAAGAAAGAAAGAAAGAAAGACTAGCATAAGCAAATAAAGACCAGAGGAAAGATTCAGTGCTTTATTTAGGTAAAGCAGTAAAAGATGTAATATAATAGAAGTCTATAAGGCAATTTGTTATCCATGAGACCTACCTTGTTATATACATAAAAAAATTAAAACAGGTAGAAATAAAAATAAAAGATAAAATGCAAAATTCTGAAGTTTTTTAAAAGTTGAGTAGAATCTAATTTCTTCTTTTTTCATAAAGTTTAGTGTCAAGTATTAGCTGAAGAATAAAATATTACAAGCAGGTTGGTGGGTATTTGGTGAATATTTTTATGTTTAAGGTAAGGCCTTCATGCTAATTTTGTTGCATTTGCTAAGTGTGTGTGTGTGTGTGTGTGTGTGTGTGTGTGTGTGTGTGTGTGTGAAATTATACAGTAATAAACAATAAAAGAGTCAAATCACCCAATTAAGCAGTATGAGACAGACTGGGAGAACATAAGATGATGAGAAATACCACATTTACCCATGTATGCTCAAGCATGAACACGGAGCTAAAGTGGTACAAACTGCTGAGAGCCTGTGTGCAGAACAAGCTTGTTGGTCTTTCTCCATCTGCCTCATCTTAAGTGCATATTCTAATTTCTTGCTACTTCTATCTGATTGCCATTCAAATTCTTCCAATTTTTTGGAATAAAGAATTGAAAATACACCCATTTGTACTGATGCCTGAAATGATACGGCATAAGTGCTACTACTTCAAAAATTGCCTAGCTATTTTCTGTTTGAAGAAATCATACCTACGAAACCATTCTTCCTTTGGAAGATAAAGAAAAATCATTAAATATTTCAAATAGTAGTTATTTTCTTCAATTTTGTGCCGTTCTGATAACATATTAAGGCTGAGTAAATATCAGATTGAAGATTTGGGATTTGCCCTTCACAGAATTACAAATGTACTAAGCTTGGGCATAGAAAGGTTTAAAATTGGCCTATGGGGCCCCTGGTAATGGAATAGCATTTATACATAGTGTATGTATGAATGGACATTGGGAGCCCATTCCCCACAGTGGGATACTCTCTCAGCCTAGATACACGGAAGAAGGCCTATGCCCTGCACCAAATGATGTTACAGACTTTTATGATCCCCCATAGAAGGCCTCATCCTTTCTATGGAGCAGAAGAGGGATATGATGGGAGTCAGTGGGGGTCATGGGAGAATGGAGGGAGAGGGAACTGGGGTTGATACATAAAATAAGATTGTTTGTAATTTAAATAAATAAAGAGAAAAGGTAAATGCTATTTAATATGAATTCTCAAATGAAAATATCTATGTACATATATACAATAAAAGATCATCAAGACATAAGGAAAAATAACCATAAATAAGAGGAAATAAATGTCATAAAATAAAAACTAAGCCACTACAGAATGCAAGACTACTTTAAAGTGAGTGTAATTGAGTTAGAGAATAAAGGACAAAATAAGAGATCTTATTAGTAAGCTAGATAAGAAATGGAATCAAATTATTATTGGGGTGGCATGAGGAAAAGAAGAAGAGGAAGAAGAGGAGGAGGAAGAAGATAAAGTGAACACAGAGATAAATGGAGATCCAGAAGTTCTAGTAGCAGTAATATAAAAGAAAGCCTAAGAAAAGAGGGAGCTAATATAAAAATCAGGAATGTCCCAGAAACAACAAAGGTTATGAGTTTATAATTGAACAGGCTCATTGAATTTTAAACAGTATTAATTAGTCATATTCTAGTGAAATTTCAGAACTTGGATATAGAAAAATCCAAGATACTTTTGAGAAAAATAAGTCATCTACATGAAAAGGAAATAGTTTGGCATTCTTCTTATCAGCAAAGTTAGCACCAGAAGTCAGAAAATTAAGGTCTTCAAAATCACAGCAAGTATCCCAGTGTGAACTCTTCTTTAACCAACTAGCATTCCACTGTGTTAACACTATAAACTCACTTCTAAACACAGAGGAACTGAGAAAGTGTTGGCCCAACAGATCCTTCCAGCAGGAAAGATGATTCCACCTAAAAACCATAAATGTGAATGAAAATTTTTTGTGACACAAAATAAAGTGATAAGCAAAAAGACCCTTAAAGCAATAATCACCCAATTTTATGTGAAATGATAGAAAATTTAATGCATACAATAAGAATTTATTCTGAATATATAGGCCAGAGGTGTAGACCAAAATACTGTCACTTGGAGAAAATGCCATAAAACTGACAGGTTGTGAAGAAGGAAGGAACAAATACTTTCTTAAGTGTGTGTTGAGTTTATTGAACATTTATCATGAGCCAAGAATTGTTTTAAGATTTCCTCATATATTATGCCATTTATACCTAACATCTCTAAACTGTATTGATTTTTATTTTGAAGTCTGAAAAGTAATCAGATGAGAAGAGCCACTTCCTATGAGCAACAAGATCAGAAGTAAAGGGACCCACAAGCTTTCCTGCCCACTCTAGCTTCTGAGGAGAAGCAGGACGTCATAGGGAGGGCACTACCCATGCTTGGGAATAGGAAACAGAGAATTCCTCCATTCTATAAGAAAGGATTGTGATAGTCATTCAGTGTTACTGTGGTTAGAAGAAATGAGAGCATCACACAAGAAGGCCTGGGCTTGTGCAGATAAGATAAAATTGCAGGTGTATCTATACATCACCTTGACTGCCTCACAGTTTCAAATTATTTTCACTCCTACTGCCAAGATTTTAAGCTACAAAATATTAGAATAAAAGATCTCAAAAATATTAAATATTTTCAGGGAAGATAAAGTTCTCTTCTTAAAATTTAGTAAACTATATGCATTTTATAAATCAGTAAAAAAGACACAAGAGGTAAAGAAAATACATACCATGACTTTAAATCTACCTTATTAGTGATGTTGCTTTTATGATGTCATTTTTTCTATTAAAAATCAGAAAGAATACAAATTCAAAAATTGATTAGATGTAAGATGGTTGTTTGCTGGAAAGAAATATGCAATTGATTTTAAACACAAAAAATGAAAACATGGATAAACAATAAAAGTAAAGATTTCTGTTATTGAGAACTAAAATGTTCAGTTTAAATATCTGAATTTTAAAAGCAAATTTGTCATTTAAATTCTAAAAGAGAATAACCAAGCAGTCTAAGCATATTTTGAGCCTTCTTAAAAAATTGTGGGTTAATTCCCTGCAGAGTTTCAAAGCATTACACAGAATTTTAGCTATGCAATTGGTCCATCACTCCTTATGAAATAGTCACAATGAGAATAGGAAGTCATCAAGAAGCTAATGTCAGAAGGGGTCTTTAATCCCCAGTACTGGGAAGGCTAAAGTAAAGGGGAACAAATTCCTGGTCTTCTTGGGATTCAGAACAAGTTTAAGGTCAGCCTAGACAATTTAGTAAGGCTGTGTTTCAAAAACTCTTTAAGTTTAAAGTATATTAGAGACAATTCAGTGGTAGAACATTTGCCTAGTACGCCTTAGTTCAATTTCTAGCATTGGGAAAATGAATTTAAATTTCTGGGCAATATTCCATTGATGACAGGGTGTGTGTGTTTGTGTGTGTGTGTGTGTGTGTGTGTGTGTGTGTACATTTGAATATTAGAAAGAATCATTAGATATTGCAACTATTTTTCCTTGATGTTATCTATTCTTTCATGGTTTCTATGTTACTTTTCATTTCCAATGTGTTTTTCATTTCAATTTTAGGTTAATTCTAACCTACCACAATCTCTTACAACAAACCTTGTGAAGTCTATAGCACTTTTTTTTTCAGTATTGCCCTGAGATGTCACACAGCATACAATGCCCAGTTAAGAAAATATTCATTTCTAGTCCCCTCACTCTGGGGATTGAGCAAATATGTGACTAATGTGGCCCTTGGCTCAGTATCGTTGGAAGGGAGTATAATTTCACTGCTTTTCCTTGACATTTATGTCCTATCAAATACACGCAGCCAAGCAACCATTTAGACTTGTTAAATGTTAACACAAGCAGGGAATTTAACAATCTGACAACACCACAACCCTCTCATTTAACTTGAGAAATAGCAAGAAATATGGAAACTCCACAACATGCAGAAGGCACTACAGAGTTGGCACTTAGCCCCTCAATGGCATTATCTCCAGAACCCTCATTAGTTTCTCCTAGAGTTTATGTAGGACATTCATTCCTCTGTTCTCAACTTTTCCTTTAAAAACAGTTCATAATATTTATTAAAAGTTAATATTTCCAACAGGGCAGAAACAATAGCATATTGTTTTTTTTAAAGGCCTGCTATCATTGAAACCATGGAGCACCATTTTTGCACACTAAATTGTTCCCCCAAATAGAAATGACATTTTATTTGGGGGATTTTATTTTTCTTTTCTTCAGAAATGTACTAGTGATTCCATAACTCACTGAAGTGTTAGCATATCACTTTAGTGATTAAGTGTAATGACTGTGATTTTCTAAACATTTTTATTACAACAACATTAAAAGATGTGAGAGGGGATGAGCAGAGTGACTCAGGCCTGTGATCTTCATAAGTGGAAGAGGAAGGAACCTGACTTTGTGGCCAACCTTGACTACACGTAGAAGTAGTTTCTCGTAATTTTTTTTTAACTATGACAAAGACAAAGATAGAAATAGTAGGCTTGTTTCATTGTTCAAAATAGTCAGCAACATGGCTTTTGGGGGGAAAAGAATAATAAGAGCAGTATTTTGTGAAGGATCCTTTGTTTCCCTTTTTCTTTTTGTCAACTTTTCAGCTGAACTACGAAGATCTTTCAGACATGGACTCTGAGGGCCTGAAAGAATGGGGAGGACTAGAGTCTAATGCTGCAGACAACCTCACTTCAGTTTCAGTGTACTTTTATACACAAATGTAACAAAGAAGGCAATGATCCAAAGAAGGCTGTTTGAGTTCAGAAAAAAACATGTAAATAAACATCAGTAAA